TCACGGCGCGACGTGTCAGACCACAACTAACTAAGCCAGCAGAATGCACAGCACTCTTGATAAGCGACCAGTGCTGGTTGACATTGTCGGGTGGGGTTGGTTCTAGCTTTTCAGCTAGCGCGTTTTGGAAGATGGTTAGACAAGCTGGTTTGTGCAGCTTTTCATAGTCTAACCGTCGTTGTGTCGTGCGTTTGGAACGCCCACCGAAGCACATTTACAGCTTGGCACATACTAATGCGTGGTCGTATTCGAGGGAGGTGCTCCAGTACGATCGACAGTCTTAAACACAGCCCCGCCATTTGTGGCTTATCGCGATGTGGCCGATCTGTGTCCGTCGCTGACTCGAGGTGGTGTACCGGCAATTGAAACGTCTGAAGTTCGTACTGGCGAGAAACAGGCGGTGGTCGGGACAGAGAGCCAACAGCCGTTCCCCGTTTTCTGAGCGACAGGAATCTAATCCAAAAGGACCTCCCAGGTGCGCCTCACAGGAAGCCAACCGGCCTACTCTAGCATTCATGCCTCCTGCTAAGATCACGATATCAGCCCGGGTCGCTTTACGCAAGAGGTCGTGAAGATTGTGGTAAAATTCATCTTTGACTACATCTGGGCTGCAGTCTGTTGGGTCATACGCCGATAAGACAAACAAATTTCGTCTATCGTGGAGACGGCTGCTTATCTTGCACGCACCTCTAAGTCTCATTGCGCACAACCTACTGTCGACTGGGAACCAGTCCAGGAGCGCGGCTTCAGCTCTCTCACTGAGAGCTACACCGAAGCCAGCGAGACCGGAAGCCTTAACCTCAGGGTCCCCAGAGAGGCGTAAGTGAAACTTCACTAATGGGTTTGATGGGGACTTCAATCGAATAATGGAGCTGGAGTCTTGAATGCGAGTTTCTTGGATGCAACACATCGATGGCTAGGGTTTCGAGCGTACGAGCTAAGCACACCTGTTGTCCCATACGCATCAGAGTGCGCACATTAAACGTGGCTAGTTTGAAGGGACATCGAGGGCGAAGAAGGGCTTCAGCTGGTGGAGGATTCGGTAAGACTTGGATGCTAGTCGAGGTAAGACAAGGGTGAACAGCGACAGAACTTCCGCCCGAGGCACTAGTGTTAGTACGATCGTCTGAAGAACCTGAGACAGATGGAAGAGTGTTGAGGTAGAGATGAGCCGGGGGGAGGCTGGGAGGACGAGAGGGTGTGTACGGTGTAGAATGTTTTGTACATGTCGGAGAAGCGTCAGAAGAGTAAGATTCATGGTTCATGGTTGTGTGCGTTGTGGGCTGTTGTACTACTCGGTCACCCGGTCCAGAGTAGGCGTTGTGCGAGGATGCATTCTAGCTTTTGCGCAACCAAGTACGGACTGCAGGTCAGCAGTAATGTTCCAGATGAGCCGGTGGCCAGTCTTAGGTTCATTCGCCTCTTTTAGAAAACCTTGTCGAGCGATGGATCTCGACAAGGAGCAATGGCCATATTTAGTGGCGGGCCACACTCGCCACGTCACAGCGCTGTCCGCAGATATATGTAGTGTTTTGTGCGGTGAACCCTTGCTAGGAGTAAACCCGCTACATCCTCGAGCGCTGCCGCTGATCGTCTGCGACCGCTTATTCTGTAGGCCGAGGCCTACCTTATTCACGGTTAGCCACTAGATGCCCGCCGTTCCCCTATCCGCGACATGGAGATGCGCTCGGTAGCATACAGCTCTGCTTTTCCGAGGCTCCCTTGTGTGGTGAACTGCAGAAACCATGAGTCCCACAGTTACGAGTACCTACCAACTTGGAGTGGCGAACCATGTAGGGTCCATGGCGTGTCACTGAGACGGACGACAGCGAAGCTATATATTATCAAAGTTAGTTATTGATTTTGGGGCTCAGATCTCGGAACTTGAGAACCAAATCGGATTAGAAACAGCGTGTGAAACTACCAGGTTACCCTCATTTTACTTGTACTGTTTTTATGGTCCGTTTTCATTTAGTGGTTTAAGACGAATTGAAGGCCCACTTCGGATCGCGATTCGCGCCGCTGTTTTTAGTCTTGATAATTTGAGCTCTAAGAGAACTTGTTTGATGGCATAACTTACTCTATGCGGATGACTCTTTGAGTGCTCGTGGCATTCATGTTTCAATGATTATACGGGGGAAGTCTGAGTTGGGACACGTACGTTCAGATCTGTCACGACTGATGGGTCTGACGGGTGTGAAACATTACATAAAAACTTGAAAAACATGTTCATGCCGGCGAACATTCCTGTGGTTGATAACTATGGAGGAATTGTTCCTGATTTTTAGCATATTTCTTCGTTCACCGATTCTCATGGCCACCATTCCTGTGGACTGTCGCGTGCATATCTCATATGTTTTACACTCTTTCCGAATTGCGTAATGAGGAACTATTTTGAAAAGTCTTTGCTTCGACCCCTCCTCCTTCCGCCATTTACTTCTCAGTATTGTGTGTGTGTGTGTGTTTGTATGCAGTTACTCTGGCAATGAATAAATGTTCTAATGTGTTTTTGTCGTCAGTCTTCCACGTATTCTTCAGTGATATGCAAAACAACCTTTGGTCAGTGTTATGAACATGTGTCATATACAAGCCGCACATAAACGTTGCTTAACTTTTAGAATTATAAATATTATTTTAAAGTGAATACACACATGCACGAAGCATACGAACAAAGTACGCTGTTTCGACCGATATTAGCCCTGCTCAGAGAACCATGCATTAGGTAGGCAACCGAATGGCTCAGCATTTTGCCATTTCAAAATGGTACTCCACACTGAATGTGTACATACCGTAGCAGTTCGCTTAAATCTACGTTTTAGACCAAACATAGCTTAGAAATATAATGTGAAATACCGTTAGCCCTACTACGATCTTCGATTTCCCTGAGATCCAAACCACACCCAGATTCAGTCAATTCGATGTGAATATTGTTCAGTATTGTATAACTGTATATTGCTTAACTCATCTAAGATGTGACTGATTCAGGTTATATGACAATCTACCGAGTGCCCGTAATATCGACAGTGCCGTCAACCGGGATGATATCATTCGTCAGCTCCAGGGGACATCTTTCAGGATAACTACTAACTGGTTTAGCAGAGTTATGGTTTAGGTCTGTTGTGGTCTCAGTGACTGATCTTAAGTAATAAATTGACAAAAACCTGGGTGGTATCCAAGTTCAGTTTCAGTATGAACAATCATCGGCCACGCACTTTCGTGCGCCAGTTTTGGTTACTGTCTTTTTGGCTGCTCATTTATATGAATAATAGGAGTTTGAATTCAATCAGGTGTTCTAATCGCTCCACAAACGTTTCAACTTCTCCCATTTTACAAAATGCAGTTCTCGTTATCGCCGTAGAGCTAGTATCGTTGGAACCTGGTCTAACTTTTCTCTCAACTGCGGGCTGTTTGCCATTAAAAAGATTGTACAAAAAATGACCGCTTCCTTGTTCCCGAACCTGTCTTAATGCTGTTGAGGTTTTTCACAACCATCTGAAAGGAATCCCCCTCACAGAAATTATATCCACGTACCAATTGATAACCCTTACTTCCTCATTAGTGTCCTGGATCTTGGTGGATCAGGAATGCCCGATTATCATACTGAAAGAAAAAAATCCGGTAGGCGAACCAAGCCGGTTTTCTGATATATTCATCAACTGACCATTGCAATTATATGGGCTGATTTGGATTCGTCGATCTGGTTTTGATCGCATCAAACTAATAACCGAAAGTGTGCTAAAATTGTTTACCTGATCCTCACTTCGGTTCGGTCATTGATATTTCTTTTCTCTCTCTCTGTCCTTTCTACCCGAAAACGTGCCTGTCCAGGCTCTCTGACCTCGATGCCAGCCGTGCGAGCGTTTGCCTTGTACGCCGGTGTAGCTATTCTGTTCAACTTCCTGCTCCAAATATTCGCATTTGTCGCCTTGCTCACTCTGGACGCTCGTCGACGTGCGGTAAGTATGAACATCACTTACACTATCCTGTTACAAATCATTTTCCTACATTGATCACTTATTAAGCTTCTCTGTATTTGTATGTCGATTGTGAAAAGTTCGGTAACCGCGGTGGAATTCAAACCCACGCATGGACACCGCCTACGCTCTTGTACAGCACACGCTCTACCAGCTCAGCTACGAGGCCACATTGATAGCACTGATCTCTTCGCATTTGAAATACCCATCCAACTTACGCGGGCATATGGCATCCACCAGTTAGCATGTAAGCGCACTGCTTCGACAGGTTTTCCTTAAAAAAATTTTTAATACACACATTTGTGTGGGCTGGGCGAACCCCATAGTCACGAGGACCTGCTGTTCAGTGATTGAAATCGGCAACCTAAGCCCCGGGACTTAGAGTGGCGAACCACATAAGGCCCCGATAAGTTAGATGTGGCATTGAAGTGGACGACAGCAGAACTGCCTACCACCAAAGTCGGGTGGCGGGGTTCGAACCTCGGACCATAGGGTCCAAAGCACGCCGGTGACAGCGACTAGACCACTGCGCCACCATCATCGGAGTCCACCAAATGAGCTTCTAATTCAAGGTTGTTTGTTCAAATTGTTGTTTGGCAGAATTGTTTCGTTATTTTGACCTACTGATCTCATCGCATGTTCCTTGTGGCTAACGGAGCGATTTAATTTATCCATCTGTATTCCTGGTGTTTTTGTATCAATCATTATCGCTTTCTTGTCGATCGTTCCTGGCCAACTTCCGGTCGCGCAGATCGCTGTTGTATCAGATCAATCTTTCGTACAATTAAAAATGTCTTTGTTTAGTTTACTTATTGGACTATTAGTCAAACGTGGACAGAAAGTGCTTTATTTACTAGGTTCATGCTCAGTCTGTTCACGTGATCAATACAAGATAAAGACAAAATCGAGAACGGTGTATGTAAGACGTAATACATGTTGCAAATATATAGGGGGTGGTCAAAACAGTTTAGATTTTCTCATCAAACCTATCTATATTTGGTTAGCAAGGTGGTTACGCATGGAAGCCGGAATGCACTAGTATGGACATAGTGATCAATACTTATATAAGGCGATCAAGCGGAAGTACATTTTTTTCTGACAGACGTGATCAGCTTGACGAACTCCAACCGGAGCAGTCGTTATGCACGTTGTAACCGTGAGAAATCAGTCGACACGCTGCAATAGTCCGGTGCACCGAAAATTGCTAGCACAAAACGGAGCTCTTGCGTGCGCCTGATCATTATCACTATGATCGTACTGTAGCGAGAAATCGTGGAGCGCATTTTGCTGATCGCTGCACGCAGATCATGATCCATCGATTGACCGGGTAAACTGAAATAAGTGGACCGACTCAGTTTCGGTGTTTCTACGCCCATGGGCACACATCTACAGTGGATTGGGACAGTGCGTTCGAAATATAAAGGTAAACAGCATGCTAACTATGACCAGAATAAGTGGAATTCCGGGTTCAAATGAACAGCTTCGGTTTCTAGATCTTTTACTTGACCTGTGCAATGTGATCCAATTATTTTACTGTACACTTTTGTGCACTGAACAGGAGGTTGGGCAAAGCCTATCGTCACGATTACCGGGCGTTTAATCATGGAAACCAACAACCTAAGTCCCGAGACTTGGTTTGGTGAACCACATAAGACCCCGCTAGTTTGGGCGTCATATTCAGTCCGGGTTAGATAGTGACAGTGCGGTTCGGACCCCAGAGCCCACCGTACACCGTTGATGGACAGTTAAACCGCTTAGCCCCCCCCNCCCCCCGTCCCTAACACGATACAGGACGAATGCAGAACCGTAGTTCAAATCTTCGTTAAACCGGACACTGACAGTCACGGCGGTACAACTCGTTCATCTAACTTGAACAGAAAGCCCAAATTCCAACTGTACACTAGCAGATTATCATGCTATAGTGGTGTTCTTCCATTTTTCTAGAAGAAACATGATCAGGTATAAATTAAGCAACCAAAGTCGGCGATGGCCAATACGTCCCACAAATGGTCCGAAAACGCGTGCCATCCGGTTATAGTTTAATCGCCCTGTTACATAACTCATGCACATTCCTGTTGCTCCTTTGGGAATCTTTGCGATAGAAATACTCGGTGAGATCCTAGGTTCCGTTGTCCGTTGAGTCAATAGATTCACGTTGATGATGGCATCAGAAGGGGTTGAAGTAGCTTCAAAATTCTCTCCAGCCCTTCCGTTAATGTTTTCTTTGTTATGTTCATGTTCACCCGGTGGACGCATCCCGGATGAAGTGTCAGCTCGCATACAGAAGGCTCGATTGGAATTTGCCAACTTGAGACATCTGTGGCGCAGTCGCGACATCCGGCTGTCTGTGAAGCGTCGAGTATGCGCTGCAGTAGTTCGGTCAGTTCTGCTATATGGAACAGAAACGTGGCCATTAAGAAAACAGGGTAAAGATAAACTATCGACGTTTGAACACCGCTGTCTACGTAGCATTGCACGAATCTGGTGGGACAGCCGGACTAGCAATGCTGAGGTTAGGCGTAAAGTTTCGGTATCCGCGATCGCCTATGGAGCAAGTAGTCGATCTCCATAGATTACGTTGGTTAGGGCATGTGTTACGCATATTTCCAAATAGGCTGCCACGGCGAGCGATGTTTGCCGAGGCAGGTAGTGGGTGGAAGAAAGCCCAAGGTGGTCAAGCTAAGACCTGGCATGAAGGTATGAAAACCCTAACCAGGAGTTTAGGTCACACAGGTCCCGTTAGGCTCCCTGGATGGGGATCTCGGGATGGTCGTACCCGATGGTTAGGGACACTTAATGATATGGCTGGGTGTCGTAAACAGTGGCGTTCATGCATTTTCTCAATTCCTCTGTATCATTAATCCACTGAACTTTTCCATTTTCTCTTCGATCCTACTTTCAACCTTTCTTGTCTTTCTCTTAATGTTCATCCAAATGGGCAGCCGAAAGATAGCAACCAAAACCGGCGGACGAAGATGCATGGTTAATGGTTGTGCAGACTGAACTTAACTAATCTTCATGACAAATCACACTTACTAATCAAATTATATCCTCTAATACTACCCTCTGCAACGCGTATAAATAAAAAATACTCATCGTCGGATGAAACTGCGGTGATTGAATGTTGAACATAGTCGTTGTGATATCATACGGCCTTCGGAAATTCACGGGAGTGTAATCAGCTGATACACAGCACTGTGCAAACGATTGTGTGACAGAAGCGAGTCAAAAGAATCACACCATCGCATGCACGCACGCACGCCCTTAGCCGTGTTACACATGTAGTTGTACAAACCCCGCACCGCGAACCTGGTGTGTAACCTTAGTTATGAGCTAGATCAGAAATCTGTAACATGATTGCCTTTTCACATCTAATCTCACCTGTTCATCAACTAGACAGTTGATATTTACCGGCGGGCAGGTGGGTTTTTCACTAATTTTTTTCAATTACCCTGTTCAAAATCCTCTAGCTAGTTCAGATCAGTGAAATGGTCAGTACTAATAAAGGAGTATTGTCTGTAATAGGATGGATTGTCTAGGATTTCCCGTGTATGCCTAAATGCCCATTTGTGCAAAGGTGGTGCAGTTTTCATAACCATGTAGTACATGAAATAGTTGAAAACACATTCACCTTTTGCACTCCCCACCATCCTCTAAATGTAGACCAATTTGTTGTTGTTGTTGTTGTTGTTGTTGTTGTCCACCTGGCATCAACCTGAACGCCACAAGTTGGTGCAAATCACATGCTAGTAGCAATGGTCGAATCAATCAATATATACACGATTCCAGGGTTTGCTGCGATTCGTTACCTTGACCCATAACACGAACTCGAGCACAAGACGACCTCCTCCTGAAAGTTGTGCAATTTTGTTTGCTACGGAAGGGGGGGGGAGACAGACAGTCAGCGTATGTAATGTTTTGCCACAAAATACATCCATAGACTCTAATCTACTTGTCAAACCGAATATCTGAAAAAAGTTGTAAATTTACACAAAAGTATGCTCAACAAGCCTGTTCCCCAGTCTTGTAAACACTATGGTCTTTCACCTATTTAGAAAGGTGGTTGACAAAGCGATCCTGCGAACTTCCACTCAGTAACACTTTTTCCCGTTCTGTCGAAAGTAATGGCATCAAATTTTACCGATTTTTCTGATACAATATTTGGACAAGTATAATGGTCTGTCACCAGCTGGACGTGGTTTTCGACCAAAAACGGACATGCTCCACAAATGTATTGTTTGCACAAGATTAGTTGTCGCAGGAGAGGCGGTAAAGCTAGTCCATTTAAACTTCTCCAAAGAGTTCGATCAAGTGAACCATAAACACAGTGCTTGGGGGCTGCTCCTTGACTTGATCGGGGAATTTCTTCGATAGCGTACCGCATCACTATCGAGATAGATTGACGCTGTCTGTG